TTATAAGCAACTACATACCTGAATCGAAAACATGTTTCTACCACTTAAATAATTTAATGAAAATTAACGCACACTCCACTTCGCTCCACTTTATGCAACGTCATGCAATCACCTCGACCACCTCGATGACCTCTAACAGTAAACAGTTTAGATCGGTTTAGACGGTTAAGATGCAAAGGGGATTATAAACCTGCCAGAATGGATTTAAACATGCGCAGTTGTGTTCTGCGCATACTCTTGCTGCCATCTCTACTTTGCTGGGCACATCGAGCTAACTGGCAACTGCAACGCACCCGTGATCGCTAGTGATCATAGAGCTCATAGAGCGATCATGGTGCGTCATGTCATAGAGCACGCAGAGTTGCCAATATGAGCATGAGACTGAGAACGTTGATTCGCAAAGTTTTTGCTGGTGTCGGACATTTTAAACAATTGAATATATGGTTGGGTAGCAATTTAATTTTCTAAATTTGTATTGTCGTTGTAACTTGGATATACAAAGTACTGCAGTACTGAATTTATACTGTTTACTGTTACATCCGATTTTTTTTCTTAAATACATTACCAAATGACCTGGTTGATGGAACGTACGAACAGTTGTGTATGTCAAACCATGCCGTGTTCTTAATGACGTGGAGTTTTAGGTTATCTGTTTATTAGACACATATATTTATATATTATTACACAGCATGTTTGAAATAACCGACGTGCAGAGTAAGCATAATCATAAACCATCATTGTGGTAATTTATTCTGTATTACGTTATGTTTAAACGAACTTTAACTTAGGCTAATTCTTCGTTGTTTAAATTCAAACGTTGCTTAGAGGGCATTATTTCGGCAGCTAAATTTAATTTCATATTTGCATTTCTTTTGAAACGGTATAAAGTACTTGAGGCAAGCACTACGTTTGTATGGGATGGCATGCTACTTTTCTATGCAAAATGAATGATAAATAGAATAAAAGCAGTTTTGTGCATTTCTCGTAAATATTTTGTTGGCGATAAAAGTGCAGAATCTGTTAGTTTATATATTTCCACAACAGTTAATGTGTCGGTAGTATTTTTCAGGTATTAATGTACGAATATGTCTCTTTTAGACATGAAGTGTAAGCTATATCATTCCATTATCACATGTTTGCATTTAAATACAATACATGCATGTGTTTTCTTTTTTTAGAGATGGGTTATGTGAGTGAAAAATAATTGTTTTCTACAGTAGCTTAATTTATAATGTAACAAGAGTTTAACTGGACAGGCTGGCATAGCAGTAGCACTCTTAATTTGTATTTGGGAGGTTCTCAGATAGAACCTTGCCCAGGGCACCAGCTATCCTGACAGGTTTTCCCCCAATCCCTCCAGGCAAATGCTGGGATAATACCACAAGTCACAACTGCTTCCTTCCAATTTATCATTCATCTGTCGGGCTACCATTTGACACTCATAGTCTATAGACAAAATCACAAAGCAAACCACAAAAGAAAAATGTGGTTTAACTTCTCTTAGCTATTGTCCGATCCAAACATCAGATATCTTTCATATCTTCCTATGGACATTATGATGTATGAAACAAATAATTTTAAACTTTCTGTTACAGAGATTGGACTGGGCCTTGCAGGATTTGGCGTGTCATTTCTTTTTCTTGGTGTATTACTTCTGTTTGATAAGGGGCTACTGGCAATAGGGAATGTGAGTTATATTTGAAGTCTTAAATTCCTCTCATATGTGGGAGTCACTAATATCTTGGCTAGTCAATTCAAAGATCAGAAATTTGGTTCCCTGTACAGATGCAGTTCACACTGCTTTGTTCATAAAAATAGAACATGATTTTGGCTGAACACATTTTGGCTTACTGGCAAGTCAAGTTCTCCATCTTCAGGTTTAATTTTGTTTCTATATGTAATAATACAAATGCTGTCATGAATGCAACAATTTATTTTGTTGTAGATCTTTGTCTTTTCTTCCTCTACACTCACAGTCCAAAATCTAAAACATCAGCCTGTCAGTTTTGTTTTAAAATCTCGCCAACACACGCTCATCAATTTGATTTTAGAATTACAGTTTACAATTTAAAGTTTTAAATACCAGGGACACCTGCTCTTGTCTACGTGTGCTGCAGCGGATATTTCTTTTATTCAGCACTGTTCATGTATTATTCTGTGCAGGCTCCTTGTGTGTGTGTGTGTGTGTGTGTCGCTGCTCATCTTTAAGTATTAAAGATGAGCAGCGACACACACACAGGGAGCCTGCACAGAATAGCACATGAACGGTGCTGAATAAAAGAAATATCCGCTGCAGCACACATAGACAAGAGCAGGTGTCCCTGGTATTTAAAACTTTAAAGTTTAGAAATTTTAAATTTTAAACTGTAATTCTAAAATCAAATTGACGAGCGTGTGTTGGTGAAATTTTAAAACAAAACTGACAGGCTGATGTTTTAGATTTTGGACTGTGTGCAGTGTGACAGCTATGTAATGAAAAATACACCTGATGATGGCCAGTTACGGCCGAAACATGTAGTGTAGAGGAAGAAAAGACAAAGGTCTACAACCAAATAAATTGTTGCATTCATGACGGCATTTGTATTATTACATATAGAAATGTATACTGCAACAGGATGCTAAATTTAATTTAATTTTATACTTGGAGAAAATACAAACCTTCAGATAACATGGGCATTAGAAATATTCCAATTGTCACTGACATATAGAAAATTGTATGTGTTTTGATTCCTGTTAATAAGCACCAATTTATAGTACATTATTTTATTAGTGTGTCTGCTAAATTTTAATAACAGAAGTTAAGTAAGTAAAGGCATCCATGTAACAGGCCGTGGAGGCCAATAGGGTTGTGAGATGTTGAGGCTCTCACATTTTCTAGACAGTTGGCTTACAGATGGAGGTGAGGTTGTCAACCTTATGCGCCGGCCGCCTTTTACCCCCAGGACAATTCCTGGTACTCATTTGTGTTAGGGGCTGCATCAACCCCAGGGCCATAGTGTGGCTGAAAAAAGTCCTTCATTGGGATTTTGTCTCGCAACCTTATGGCTTATAGCATAGTGCCTCAACCAACTATGCTACCATGTGCCCCCATACTAACAGAAGTTCAGTTCATAATGTGAAAGCCACAGACAACAGACTGCTGGAGTATACCTCATTGTCTGTGGCTTTTTCTCCACAGGAGAGTTTCTCATAGAACCGTAATTCTTCAGAATATTTTATTACAGCCTGGGGTCATGAATTTATAAGTCATCTTTTTAGAAATCAGTGTCAAAACATTTTCTTTTGCCATTTTTCTTTTCTTAGCACATTAACACAGTTACTGTGGCTAAGATTTTTCATGGTTTTCCTCAAGCCTTCTTGACCAGTGATTGCAAAGTTATCCTATAGAGTTTTAATGTCTCATTTTGATACAAATGGGAACATAACTTATAAATCTCTATCACAGTTAAATAGCAAATGGTCCATTCATCATCATCATCATCATTATCATCATCATCATCACCACTGGCACGACAGCCCTTTGTGAGCCCTGGCCTTCTTCAGGATTGCTCGCCATTCTTCTCTATTTGATGCTGCATTCCTCCAGTTCTTTACACCCAAAATTCTTATGTCCTGCCACACACATTCTTCCCATCTTAACCTTGGTCTCCCCACTCTCCTATTTCCTTCTGGTTTAGTGTTAAGTATTTTCTTGATGGTTCTATTCTCGCTGACATGTCAGCCCATTCAAGCCTTTTCACCTTTATAAATCCAATAATGTCTGGTTCATTAAGTAGTTTGTACAGCTCATGGTTATACCTCTTCCTCAATATTCCATTTTCTTCCACTGGTCCAAAGATATATCTCAAAAGGTCTATTCTGTATCCATCTAAATTCATTAAGCTTGGGTAAAGCGCACAGAAATAAGAATTATTACAGCTTTACAATATAATAACCTCATGCACCATACTTTTTATCCACCACAGACTGAACTTCCAAATTATGCTTACTGGGAAGTAAAACTGTTCTCAGATAGGGAACAACTGAATAGGTAAAATGTTGATTAGCAGTACAAATAAAAATGTTGGAAGTAAAATTATTAACTTCCGCTCAGATAGAACAACTAGTAGCCTTCACTTAATAGGAAGCAGTAACACTAACTACTAGCGGCCTCCGTAGTCCTCTGGGAGAGACTAAGCCGTGTGTCCCGTGTCGTAGCTTTACGGCACGTAAAAGAACCTCATATCTCCAAAGGAAGTCACTGAGCCAAATTCAAGGATGTTTCCCACCCAACAGTAGTCCCTAACGCCTCTGAGAGATGGGGGAAGCATTATAGACACCACCAAGCAAGTGGAGGCCAAACTCACTTGCTCAGCAGGACTGATGGTACGCACCAATATCGGTAGGGTATAGAGACTGGTAGAATATCATAGAGGGAAGCACAATGTGCATGGGGAAACCCACCCTCTCCAATAACTAACTAACTAACTAACACTGACTACTGAGCTTCAAGACTTCGTTTTTAGTTAGATCTGACAGACGCTATGAAAACCCATCTAAATTATTCTGAACTGCCTTTTCATTGGTATTTTACTTGTATTTAAGGTCTCTAACCCAAATATAGTTGGTTACCACTTTATAAAGAATTTTGCAAATATGAAGAGTAGTGTCTTTTGGATTGATGACATAAAGGATAGATTCTATGAAGAATTAGAACATGTATTTGATAAATTCCCGAAGTACCCTATCAAAATTTTGTTAGGAGATTTCAATGCCAAAGTAGGGAGGGAAGACATTTTCAAACCAATGATTGGGAATGAGTTTGTATGAAATTAGTAATGATAATGGAGTTAAGAGTAGTAAACTTTGCCACATCAAAAAATCTTACTGTCAAAAGTACAATGTTCCCGCATCATAACATCCATAAATTTACTTGGACATCTGATGGGAAGATACACAATCAAATAGACCATATTTTTATAGATAGGAGACGGCACTCAGGTATACTTGATGTCTGATCATTCAGGGCAGCAGATTGTGATACTGACCACTACCTGGTGGTGGCAAAGGTTAGGGAAAGACTGGAAATGAGCAAACAAACAACGCACAGAGTTCATATGCGAGGTTCAATCTCAAGAAATTAAATGAGGTAGAGGGTAAAGAGCAGTATTCTGTTGAAATCTCGGATAGGTTTGCGTCTTTGGAAAACTTGGACACTGAGGTGGATGTTAATAAAACTTGGGAATCTATAAGAGAGAATATAAAAATGTCAGCCAAAGAAAGTCTAGGTTATTATGAACTGAAGAAGTATAAGCCATGGTTCGATGAAGGATGCTCAAAATTATTAGATCAAAGAAAGCAGGCAAAATTGCAATGGTTACAGGATCCAAGCAAGTTAAATGGGGATAATCTGAACAATATAAGACGTGAAACCAGTAGGCACTTCAAGAACAAAAAAAGGGAATATCTGAAAGACAGAATTGATGAACTTGCAACGAACATTAAGAACAAGAACATTAGAGACCTGTATAGAGAAATAAATGACTTTAAGAGGGCTTACCAGCCCAGGTGATCTGCTTGCAGATTCCCACAACATTGTGAATAGGTGGAGGAACTACTTCTCTAAGTTATTGAATGTACATAGGGTCAGTGATGTTAGGCAGACAGAAATCCGTACAGCTGAGCCGTTAATACCTGATCCTAGCCCTTTTGAGGTTGAAAGTGCTATTGCAAAATTGAAACAGTATAAATCGACAGGTAGTGATCAAATTCCAGCAGAATTTATTCAAGCAGGAGGTGAATTATTACGTTCTAAGATCCACAATCTAATTAATTCTATTTGGCATAGGTAAAAATTCCCTGATCAGTGGAAGGAGTCTATTATTGTACCAGTTCATGAGAAGGGTGATGAAACTGACTGTAGTAACTATCGGGGGTTATCACTGCTATCAACTTCATACAAAATTTTATCCAATATTCTTCTTTCAAGGTTAAGTCCATATACATATAGATGAAATTATTGGGGATCATCAGTGTTGGTTTCTACAGATCAGATCTTTTGCATTTGTCAGATATTTGGAGAAAAAATGGGAGCTATTCATAGACTTCAAGAAAGTCTATGATTCAGTTAGGAGGGAAGTATTGTACAATATTCTGATAGAGTTTAGGATACCCACGAAACTAGTTAGGTTGATTAAAATGTGTTTAAACGAAACGTATAGTAAAGCCCATGTAGGTAAACATTTGTCTGAGAAATTTCCTATCCAGAATAGTCTAAAATAAGGAGATGCTTTATCACCACTCCTTTTCAACTTTGCTTTAGAATATGCCATTAGGAAGGTCCAGGGAAATCAGGTGGGACTGAAATTAAATGGGACACATCAGCTGTTGGCTTATGCTGATGATGTGACTCTACTGGGTGATAATGCAGATACCATGAAGAAAAACACACAAACTTTAATTGACGCCAGTAAAGAGGTTGGTCTAGAAGTAAACACATAGAAAACTAAGTATATGTTGCTGTCTCGTCACCAAAATGCAGGGCAAAATCATGACATAAAGATAGGAAACAGATGCTTTGAAATTGTAGCACAGTTCAGATATTTGGGAACAACGATAACAGATCGAAACATGATTCAGGAGGAAATTTGGAGATTGAACTCAGGTAATGCTTGCTACCATTAAGTCCAGAACCTTTTGTCTTCTTGTCTACAGTCCAAAAACATAAAAATTAGAATATACAAAACTATAATTTTGCTGGTGGTTCTGTATGGGTGTGAAACTTGGTCTCTGACATTCAAGGAGGAACATAGACTGAGGGTGTTTGAGAACAGGGTGTTGAGGAGAATATTTGGACTGAAGAGAGATGAAGTGACAGGAGGTTGGAGGAAACTGCACAATGAGGAGCTTCATAACTTGTACTCTTCTCCAAGTATAATTAGAATGATCAAGTCAAGGAGGATGAGGTGGGCAGGGCATGTAGCATGAAAGGGGGGAGAAGAGGAATTCATATAGGCTATTGGTGGGAAAGCCAGAAGGAAAGAGACCACTGGGAAGACCAAGGCCTAGGTGGGTGGACAATATTAAAATGGATCTTAGAGAGATAGGATGGGATGGACTGGGTGATCTGGCTCAGGATAGGGAATGGGAAACTAGCCTAGAAATGGATATAGTTTGTCTGATATAATCCAAGATATATTGTGTCAGCTACTTGTAGCCATGTGGGAGACTGACATTTTTCATTTCAAGGTGAGATTCATAAAAGAGTTTGAAAATCAACACAAGAATTTGGAAGAATTTTTAGAATCAAAATAAAACGAAGAAAGATATCGTGGACAGGGTGGTTCATGGTAGCGTTGGCCACCATTTGTTTCCGAATGACTGGATAGTTTGAACGCTACTGCACAAAGCAACGACAGTTATCTGAGAATTGTTAGTACTTCAGAACAAAAAGCAGATGTCCTAATGAAGATTTAGATTTCTCTTTGTTTACCATCAAGAATTTGAAACTCAGATATGCCTAATTATTTGTCTTGAACTAAAATTATTGAATATGTTTTCTTTCAGATCTTATTCATTGCTGGGTTGGCCTGTGTAATTGGCCTTGAGCGAACCTTCAGATTCTTTTTCCAGAAGCATAAAGTGAAGGCATCAGTAGCATTTTTTGGTGGAATGTTTGTAGTACTAATGGGTTGGCCTCTTTTTGGGATGTTATTGGAGACATATGGCTTTGTGTTGCTCTTCAGGTATGTGGTGCCTGCCTTACCATCTCAAAACGATTAAGCCAGCCATTTGCAATTCGTAAAATGCCTGTATGAGTTAATTTTAATTGAATTCATTATTCTAGGAAAGAGTAGCATTCATTCTGGGAAATTTTTATTCAGCCATGAGGGTAAATTTGCTCTTTATAATTTATTTTAAAACATTTCACAGTTACTCTACTAATAAATCACTTAACTCTCTTGTGTGGAAGGTCAGGAAAGCTATGTGGAAAAATTCACAAAAAGAGAAGATAATACATGCTTTTGTAATTAGGACAGTTTAGTGAAGTCCTTTGAGACAATGAGCCATATAAATATGGAATGGATTTCCAGTGTTTCAGAGATTGTCTGCCTATTTCATTGCATTCAGATGGTGTGAAAGCTTCAGGTGTTACACAATGTAATTTAAATGGTGTAATTACATTTTCTTTCAGTGGCTTCTTTCCTGTTGCAATAAATTTCTTGAGGCGGGTTCCAGTTCTAGGAACAGTATTAAATTTACCAGGAATTAGACGGGTAAGTTTCAATAATGAATATTTTGTATCATGAACTACTACAGATACATATAGGTATACATGTAATGCATGACTAATATTTTGAATAATTCAGTAACCATATTGTGGCATGTAGACCCATTGCTAGGCAACGACTACGACATAAGCAACCATACAACAGCTCTTGCTAAGTAATGACTGCACAGACAAGCATGTTTCCATGCTAACAATCGCACAACAACAGAGGAACAATGTTTTCTGTGTAGTCCGTGCTGAGATGTTATAAGCAGGATAGGTTACGAACTGTAGAGAGTAGGTTTGTTGGTAAGTGAGTGAGTTGGAGGACTGCTGGGGCTCAGTTGTTGTGAGCTGTTTGCTTAGGCTGGGGATCATTTGGGAACCCAGAGGATGGGGTATGCCTGCTGTTGGAAGCCACTACCAAGCAACAGCTAGTGAAGACTGTAACAGACTGAGAATACGTAGTGTGCTGTATAGTGATTTGTGAAGTGTTATAATGAATTTTACGTGGTGTGTTCAAAAAGTATCAAGCCTTCTTTTTCCCGCGTAAACCAATGAAGCGCAGGAGGCTCCCTTCAGTGGAGATGTGGAGGGGACATTCATGCGCAGTCGTGCATTTTTTTCACGCCCGCAGAAAGCATCAGTCGCTGGCAGTCAGCCTATGAGCGAGGACATGTAGTGAGCACTCGTCGGATTCCAGTAAGGTGTAAAATGACGGAACAACATGAGCAGCGATATTGCATCAAATTTTGCCAAAAGCTTGGTGATACCCAAGCGGAAACCATTCGCAAGATTCAACAGGCTATCGGGGACGATGCCATGAGCAACTCACGGATAAAGGAGTGGTACAGCCGCTTCAAAGATGGCCGCACATCAGTGGACAGCAAACCGCGTTCAGGCAGACCCTCAACAAGCCGAAATGAGAATGTCATTGAGCAAGTGTGGACTTTGGTCATGGAGGACCATCGTATCACAGTCCAAGAACTTGCGAATGAGATAGGGGTAAGCATTGGATTGGTACATTCAATTTTGACCGAGGATTTGGGCATGAGGGGAGTGTCCGCGAAATTTGTACCGAAACTGCGCGTCTGATTCAGACTTTCGTCGCCAAACACAACATCCCTGTGGTTCATCAGGCTCCCTACTCCCCCAACATGGCTCCGTGTGACTTTTGGCTATTTCCCAAGCTGAAAATGCCGCTGAAAGGAACCCGATTTGAGTCAAGAGAGGACATCATGCAGAATGCGACGGCCCGGCTGATCACCATTCCAAAAGACGCGTTCCAGAAGTGTTTCCAACAATAGCGGAAGCGCTGGGAGAAGTGTGTGCGTTACCAAGGAGACTACTTTGAAAGGGATTAGGGTTTTGTACCTCCAAATCAATAAATGTATTTCTGCCAACCAAAGGTTCGATACTTTTTGAACACAGTACATATAAGAGTCCAGTAAATCCAATTACCAATCCAAACCCTGTCCATAGTCACTCTGTTATGTGACTGTATATTGCCTGATGAAGACCATGGTTAAAATATACTGCATATTAATGTAAAACCATATAAATATATATAACTAGTAAATAGGAAGATTATTAATACATCTCATGGGATGCACCAGAGTAAATAAAAGTAATAAAATAAGAAATGGTATATATAATATAGTATAATGTAACATTTGAGTTTCATTTAAATATATCAGATTGATATTTTGTGTATATAGTTCTTACTGTCTTCATTTATTTGCCACATCTTATGAATTCAAAATGCTGTATTATTTTATTTATATTCTCTTTTGAATTTAAACATTGGTAGACTGCGCTCTTGCCAGTGAAGTAGCAGAAAACCAAAGATATTTTACTGGAGATCAGAGAAGTAAAACAAATGATAAAGTGAATTCAAAGATGTTTCACTCCAGACTAGGTATCAGACAGTTGTAAGTTTAAATTGTGAGATTTTGAGTCATCTTCTGTTTAAATCATGAACTGCTGTAAAATTAGTGGATGGGATGGCCGTGACTTCACTTCCATGGCAACCCCAGTTTGCTATCATCAGTGGAATAAAAGAAAGAGCAAGTTATTCTCAAAAAATGCATTTGGGTCTTTGTGTAAAGTGTATCTTATTTTTGTCAGATTATAACTAATACTGAATGTTGTCAGCAGATATTAATAAAACTTCCCAGTACAAAACCTTTAATCCATCCAGCTGGAGTCAAGTGTGTTTCATGTGGACAGACAGATATATGATGAAGCTAATATATGCTTTTCACAATTTTTTCAAACGTGCCTGGAAGTGAACATAGCAGGAACTAAATATTTATTTTGTAAATGGAAGCATAGATGAATACAGATAAAGATGGTGAACATCACTTGACCAGAATGGACAATGACAGACTCTCAATACTTGCACTTTGTTCAGAGCAACTGGATACTGAGAGATAGGAGACTACTATGAAGTCTGGAGGGTGGAAAGATAAAAACTAATATATGATAGCAGGAGGAATCAACAGACTATTTATAGCAAATATGTGTGTAGTGCATGATCTTCCTTGAAAGGTTGATATTTACACTGGCAAAGAAACTCCTCATTTTATAGACCATAAATGTGCCTTTGGCATACTCACCCCCTCATTGGTGTCTCCACCTTATCGTGGTGAGGAGGTTTGAGTATGCCAACGACCCTGAGAGCTATACCAGCGGTAGCATAGCTACTGGCAGGGCCTCCCTTGCTGGACAGGTCAAAGGGTAGGCATCAGACGAAGAGAGACACAAAAAACCAAAAACTGATGCCGGAAGCAGCGTCATCAGCAGCAACTTGAAGCACAGAGCAAATGATGCTCGAGATGGTTCAAGTTCGTATAGCAACAGGCGTGACCAGAGTGGTTTGAACGGCTGTTGTACTGCGATGTGGAAAGCAAATGGAAAAACTACCACATTATCACTTTTCCTGGATAGTCTCTTTCCAAAAACAGAAGATCGCATTAAGTGGAGAAACTGTTTTGGAAGAGGCTGTGGACCTGTCGTCTGACAGATTACTGATGATGATGATGATGATGATGATGATGTGTGCCTTTACGCTTGCAAAATGCTAATCAACTCCATCCAGTGTGACTGATAAATGTTTTTTATTTCTTTCATTTTTAATCTTTTATCCTTGACATGAACCAAATTGGTCTTAAAAATTTTAACAAAAGCTATATTAATCACACTTGTAAATAGACTGATTGTAATAATTTATAAATATTTTAATGTATACATGCACACAGTGTAGTTGTTAAAGGATTTTATTCATGGATTTGTGATGGTATTGTATGTATGTGTAGACAGTGTCACGTAACTTTGAACAAGGCCCCGCGTTCATACTCAAATCCTGCGCATAGTTTGTGGAGGGAGGAGTTTCTTAACACTCGCTCTTCCACTGGCTGCCTGTCACTTCTCACACCCTCCACCCCCTTGTCTGAAATTTTTCTTCTGGCCTTGTTCGAAGTTACGTGACACTTGCTGTATGTATGTATTGATATTGACCAGACACAGTGCAATAGTAGTTTCTGCCTGTATTGATATATCCTTCTGAAGTGAAGAGTGAAACATGTCAAGGGTGAAAGATTAAAAAGGAAAGAAATAAAAAAACATTTTATCAGTCACACTGGGGGGAGTTGATTAGCCTTTTGTAATATTGCTAGTGTGATGGACCAGGATGCACCAAATCAAATTTATCAGTGCCTTTACTCTGTTCACAAAGTCTATCATTAGACTCTGTCCTGAATCAGTTGGGTGCAGTTGGCTGTAATACCTTTTGTAATGTTATTTTCCAGTCTACATCTAGGCCTCTGAAGTATAGTCCTCTTTAGGGCCATTATTACATTACATGTAAGAAATCTGTTATACTTTTATTTTCTTTTCAGCTGGTAGATCGGCTGGCAGAAGATTCAAATAGGACTACAGTCTGAGATTACATGTAAGGGCAGCTACAGATGTGAAGTACAGGCTGGCGATTGTAGTTTGGTTGTCTGTATGCCCGAATAATGATCTAGAAGTGTCTTCAGCCGGTTTTATGCCACTGCAAGCGACCACGTTTTCCTGCTCTGATGACACAGAAGTGGTGCTGTGCCCAGTACTTTCAAACAAAATAACAGTTTTCATATTGTTACATGCTTGATGACAATGAATGTGTGCACCTTTCATACACTGGAACAGTTGTATTATTATGAAATGTTGGTGTAGTAACACAGAACATGATGCATAATGTCACATGTTGTCAGAACAGAGAATGACTTACATAGAGTGGCCATATAGAGAAAGGAAGCCTACACACTTTCAGTTAACAGGAATACAGGGTGATTAAAAACTGACAGAACAGGTGTAAAATATATTTGGTCCTTTATATTATTACTGCATCAAAAATGTTATTCAAATTAAATTCGTGTACTTAATCTTTATGATATGTGGCTAAACATGAAAATGACAATGGGAGAATAATTTTTTCATTTGAGTAATTTCACAGTGTTAAACTGATATATTTTAAGTCACTTGTAACTTGTCTCTTGTGGCTAAAATGTTTAGTCAAGATGTGAAGAATCCTCCATTCAGTCTGGATGCCTGAGGGACACAAACAGTAGTTCTAATTAATTTCAAGAATCAGTTCCCTTCCTTAGAAACATTTATTGAGCTGATCATGGAATTTAATTTAACCTTTTATGAATCTTGAAGGATAATCACTGTGTTGACAAGAGCCTGCTATGTCTTAAGCCAGATGAGTCCACTCCATGCCCCCATACAATTTTTTCTTTAGGAACTAGTGTATTCTCCAGTGCATGCATGGGTATCCCAACTTATGGCTGTCTTGTATGTTCATGATACCCTTCTTATGGTTCAAGAAACTCGAAAAGATCCAGTTTCTTCATACAAAAGTGAAACTTGCTTATAATAGAACCTCAAAGGACCTCATCTTTTTGTTTTAGATGATTTTCCAAATAATATACAGTAGGTAATTCTGGATTAAAACAATGTAACTACCTCGTATATTTATGGTCTAAATATGAAGCCACAGATTCACGTGTCATGTACCTAAATGTCCTGAATTGTGAGTGTGTCCATTCAGTTGCTTTATTCCCTTTCAATTTCCTGCCTTTATTTGTACCTACTTAAGTACCCTTGTAAGTACACTGCACAATTCCTTCTCATTTTTGAGACAGATATTTCTTCTCATATAATTTCTGGGAAACACAGCACAGAACTGAGAGTTCTGTTTTCTGTGTCAAACAGTTTCCATCAATTAGAGGCAGTTTCGCACTGGTTTTTACTTTGTATGTTGGTACCAGATAAATATTCTGATAAAGGTAGTTTCTACATAGTCCAAATTCTGGTTTGATCATATTTTACCATACTTTCAAGAACTGCTGTTTCTAGGGTGCTGTGCCTTGGATACTTCTCATTTTTCAATAGTAGATAACTTTATAACTCAGCCTCAGTTAAAAATTTGTCTCCAGTGTAAAATGAGACAGTATAGCTCATTTATTAAAATGAATGGATTCTGACCGAATGACCGAGGTTTGGCTCCCAGCCAGAGCAAGAATTGTTCCCTTTGCCAACCCTGTCCACACTGGCTCTTTCTCTCACCTTGCCTCTTTTCCATTGGATGTCAGTGTTCTTTCCTAAGGAGCAAAATGGCTGAAATTGATCACATCTCTTTTGAGTGTCAGTGCATAACATGCATGGAATTCTTTTGACCAGTTGGAAGTGTCAGCAGTGAAGGCGTTCTTGTAATTTGGCTCTTTTTGAATAAATTTCTGTGAACCGTGATCACTTACTTCAACTAGTAACTGATTATACTATATTTACCCACATATTTATACTTTTTATTCCAGAAATAGGAACGTGACCTTTATACATGACAAGTGCAATAGATTATTGTTTCTAAGTAGCCGTTTGTTAGGCTACATCCCTCAAGTATGAATTGCTGCATTAAGGATTTTTCATTATGAATACTGATATCACAAATGCCAACACACTGCCTAAATTGTTGTTGTTAAGTGTTGTGTATGTAAGATACTTTTCCATTCTAACCACAGAATATGGGGAGAGAAAATGTTACTCCTTTCCATGCTGCTTTTCATTTAAAATGTTTAAAAAATCCTTCTTTTTTTATATTTCCTTTGTAAAATATAGTTTATTTTCTTGAGTTTCAAGTGGTTAGCTAAATTTCTGAGAGATAACTGGACATGTTTTTTCATTGATCTTTGAGACATCAAATAAGTCCACACCAAAAGGACCATTGCTTCTAAACATGACATCTCATGCTTAGAATATTAGATCTTAATCAAAGGAATGTATTTTTAATGTTGTTAGTTATCGTTTGAAAATGTTAGAACCAGTACTAAGAGTTACAATTTGATTAGATCAATTTACTTAAGGTACCAAAAGTTGGTTGAATTTTCTGTGCAAGTACGAGGCTCATCCACAAAGTAAGTTTCCCTGGGGCCGTTTACAGAAACAAAACACAATTTCATGGAAATATTTATTGCAACAGATACAGCAAGTGTTCAGCTATTTTTCAACATAATCGCCACCAGAATTGAGACATTTATCATACCATGGGACCAACTTTTGAATACCTGTGTCATAGAAGTCTGCCGCCTGGGATTGGACCCACTGTGTGACAACTATCTCTGCCTCTCTGTCATTCTCAAAATGCTGACGCTCACCGGACAGGAATTTCTTGAGGTGTAGGAAAAGATGGAAATCACTGGGAGCGAGGTCCAGGCTGTAGGGTGGATGATTAAACACCTCCCAGCTGAACTCCTGCAGGAGACTTGCTGTCCGCCGAGCCATGTGCGGCCTAGCGTTATCGTGCAGGAAGACAATACCGGCACTAAGCATCCTGCGCTGCTTGTTCTCAGTGGCCTGTCACAATTTCTGCAGTGTTTCACAGTAATGCTCAGCATTCACCATCTCACCTCTGGTCAGGAAGTCAATGTGGAGAACGCCCTGTCTGTCCCAGAATACCGTGCACATCACTTTCCACGCCGACAACATCTGCTTGAATTTTGTCTTACAGGGAGATCCACTGTGACGCCAATGCATTGACTGCTGCTTGGTTTCTGGGGTAATGTGTGCAACCCACGTTTCATCACCTGTGATGATCCGGTCCTGAAACTCATCGCCGTCATCATGGTACTGCTGCAGAAATGTCAATGTTGACTCCATGCACTTTGTTTTGTGTTCTGGTGTCAGTTGCTTCGGCACCCACCTGGCGCACAATTTCCTGAACAACAGATGCTCCGTGACAATTTCGTGCAACAAGGTGCGGGAAATCTGCGGGACATGATTCCTGAGTTCCGTAATTGTGACACGACGATTCTCCATAATGCGTTCCCGCACAAGCTCCACCAGGTCGTCTGTAATGATGGATGGCCGCCCACTGCACTTCTCATCATGCACACTTTGTCGACCTGCTGAAAATTGTCTGCACCAGCGATGCACCATCTGCTTGCTCATGACGTTAAGCCCATGACCCGGCACAGCTGACGATGAATTTCGATCGGCGCTATGCTCTGTGCATTCAAAAAGTTTGTGGGATGTCGTATGAAGAGACAACCACTAGTTGAACTGTCCTATAGGATTTATTGCAGCTGCACAGTATACACAGACGGATAATAACAATAGTGAACTCTTTGAATCTAGAACCGTAACTCTAACTTCCACTCAATGTATCTTCTTATATAACCTGACCGCACATCACAGTTGGTGGGAGCTGGAATAAGAGCCTCCCTCTTCAACAGCTGCAACGATGCTACTGTGGGAACGTGGGAAATTCTGTTAGTGCGTGCGCCATGCTACGTCATTTCTCTGTCACATACGCACAGTCGCTTCGCGCAATGTAAGATTTTCTAACTGTAGGATGAGTGGGAAACTTACTTTGTGGACGTGCTACATACTATTATAAAAATAATATCAAAGTGTTTTCATTATTTACCATTAAGTACGTGCATAAGTCCCTATCTCAGTATATGAAATGGTTACATGTGTCCCACAGTTATATTCTCATTAAATGCCACATATATTTTTCATATTAACTATGTACATGTTGTGAAAGATCCAATGTTTTAATATAAGCTCAAAGTCAAACAAGTGAATTGGTTGAAGAGTTCTGTCTTCTGGGCTATAATGCCTTGGAGTCTGTTGGAAGTCAACCAGTGTTTCAGAGGAACTTGTCTCCTATGTCTTCAGTGATGGTATCTTCTTGCTTGATTTACACTTCAACCCTGACTTTCCTGCAGATAATTCATTGTAGAATGTATATCTAGATCAAGAATCCATTATCTATATGCACTGTGCATCCAGTTCAAGAATTATTCGTGCTTTGTAAAAGGCTGGAACATTTTTGGACTCTGGACAAGGAAGGTGAGAGTTTGCTATTACTTGGACATTTTCAGCTCTGGTTCTATTTTATATTCATTCATATCGTTTTATACCATTGGATACAGTTGAACGTTTAGCACTGTATTCTATATTTGACATGCAATTTTAATAACAAAAAGTTTTATTTATTTGCCTGATGATGGCCTTTTGAAGGCCGAAACATGTAGCAAAAGTATCTCCTAGAGCTACTTACACGTATTATTGAGTGTTGTGTTATGACGGTTTTCAGTAAGAAATAATATGCGATACTCAACAGGATGTATTCTCTGAAAACTATGTGTCTCTGCTCACAGGCCACTCCTATAAGGAAAATGTCAGTTTGTCACAAAAAGGGGCATGCTTGGCCAGCATAAAGTGGCACTTCATATAGAGTTATAATATACACATCATATACAGGCATCAAAGGAAGAAAAGAAGGCACAAAAATTTCATCCTGAAAAGTTCAAAATTAAAATTTATTTTGTCAATTAATGTTATGTGATATGCATATGACAGCCACACACTGAGCACCAATTATTTAGCAGCCAGCGTTGTCTGCTGTAAGAACAATCAAACTATTTTTTTACAGGAACAGGCTCTCAGTATGGAGGTATGAAATAAAAAATAAACTTTTTGTATACATATTTCAACCTTTAGCCCCCTCCTTTGTAGTATATGACAATTTATTAGTATCCATTTTAAGGACACAGTTTCCTTCTGATGAAAATCTGATATCAGGGGACCTTGAGGTCTAGGGGTGAGACACAGGACTCCCATTCAGAGGGTTCAGAGTATCTTCCTGTGGTTTATAGCTCACATTAAGCTATAGGTCTCCCCGGTGAGTATCACTCCCATTATCTCCCTATCAGCCTTACAGGTACCTCACCTTGGAAACAATTCTGTTACCTTGCTTAGATGGACAGAAGCCAGGAGGTCAACAGACACCATATTTGGAGGCACTAGACCAACAAAAAATTTAATACCATCCAGGACATATTTCTTCTTACTGTGCATGTACTCCTTACTTTTATACAGGTTTTTTTTTTTCTGGTTGTACAGTGATGCACTATGTCAGCGTTTTTTCTTTTACTGTAAAATACCAAAAAAAAATATAAAAGAAGAATGTAACTGAAACAGTGGAGAAATAACAGACTTCTTACTCAGTAATTGTGCAGTCAAAATGTGGCCATTCTGACGCACATACATATGATATCCACGTTTAATCCCTATACTCTGCATACTCAGCTAACACCATGGGGCAGAGTCCTTCTAACTTCCTCTGGAGTTATATAAAATCCATACTAAAATCATTTACATATTTTATCAGTTTTTGCTACTAAACACTCTTCAGGATGCACCAGAAAGAACTCCTCAGTTTGAAGGAGGCGTGTGGTGATCTGAACAAAATGTAACAGCACAAATAGCAATACTGAATGGCAAAACATATCAGGGTTTGTAGTACAAAGCAGTGCACATATGTGAAGCAGCAGTGTAGCACTGTTTGGCATTTCAGTATTTTGTGTATTGGTGTATGCAGTGCTGTACGCCCGCTTTCTGGGTAAATCGTAGGGAAAGGTGGACACATTGTGTGGCTTCAATGAAGTCCTGACATAACAGTGCTCAGTGTTTCTAGGAGGGAAGTACATATAACCGAAGGAGTTGACAGTTTGCAGGATTTGCGGCACAGAATCACAGTGGTAGTAGCAACAGTGAAAACTGGATTGCTGACTAAAAGTGTGACTTTGTCCAAGTACTGTCTTGATGTTTGTAGGGCTGTGACTGGAAACCATATTGAGTTGAACTGATTCATAATCATCTTATCAGGGTGCCGTATTGACTTTTTGATATTCTTTCATTTTTACTACAACATATGAAGTGCTGCATTAGAGTCATCTGTGAAATGTGATGTGATGTGCAGTTCAAATTCTGTTCTTTGTCCTTTGTGTCTGTAAATATTATGTTACTATACCACAGAGTTCTCTCTCAGACATCCTTTGTTCAGGGATCCATAATTCTTTCAATGTGTACATGTCACAGGAACATTGCCTTTGGTCCTATCCCAATCACACATGTAATTCGTCTTATACTCAAAGGATAAAACTGTAAGGAACTCTGAAAATAAATATGTTGTCATAGGAAGGTATATCTAAATACCCACAATTCTCCCAGAATTGAACAGAGAGTAATTAATTGTTAACGCTGTTATCAGGAAAAACTCCCAAGTAAGGTAAAAGGATGAAAAGTATTTTTTTTTTCCACCAAAATTAAACAGTATCATCTTTGCCACTTTGAAGCTTCTTTTTCTAGAAAGAAAGCACTACTTGTAATAGCAAATCTATTTCATCTTGCCAGACCCCAAAAATCTGTTGCTTTCTTTTTTTTTTTGTAAGTCCTTGGAAAAAAGTTTGAAAATTATGTTAGTAAACACTGTACATGATGGATGCTGCATATATTGTTGTAGCACAATTCTATATAAAATGCATTTGTCCTAAGTTGGCTCTCTGTGTTTTACAGTGTAATATGCAATATCCCTGTGATACTTAGTATGCATCATGTACACTTCCAGTGATGTACTGCATTTTGTAGGTGTCTGTACTTGTTATGTTTTTCCTGTTTCACATTACAGTGACTACTTGCCATGTAATAATTGGCATGAATTGGTGATGGCATTGAGCCAGGCCTGTGAAGTTGTAATTGCCAGATAAAGTTGAAGGTATATTTGATTTAGAAGTAATATGTTATATTATTTATATACTCTTTTATTTTTCCATTGTATATTCTAATTACATATAAGCATGAAGAAATGAATTGTGCCACAACCTTATGTTATGCATAATGTCTTGAGCTTGTAACCAAGAACTAGTCTGACATTTCCATATACAGCCGTTGTTAAACATAATCCAGCTCTCTTATCATGGAGTAAGATATGTAGCGACATCTTTTTTTGTGTTTATCTGTAAGCTGTGTGAATAGTAGGTGAATTTCCTTTCTCATTTAATACTGAGTTCCTTATACAGAATTAACAAAATTAATACATACGGAGAAGCATGTGTCTCTCCATTCACTGTCTGTAAGTTTTGGCCCCAAAAAAAAGTACTGGGTGCATTTTCGTGCAATATGGAACTGGGGGAAATCTAGGAGTCAGTCATGTTTAACTTTGGCTGTTGTCACTGCCATATAATGCCCACTTTGTATGAAACTGATACCAGTTTATTGATCTCATCCAAAACTGTTGATGATGCAAAAAAATAAAGATGGTTTGAAACATAGGATGTAGAACTTATTAAAACACTATGTGTATTTGAAACATTTTTCAGTATGATGTATATTTAACAATGTGCAAGGAAAAGAAATTTGTGATTGTATGAATTTCAGTTTGTGTTACAATAATAGATTTGCATCTAATGAACCTTCAGGCAGGGAATTTCTCGTTTAGCTGAGCAACTTAATTCTGCAGCATGAAATTGGTTAGATTAGTATATTCAGTACATCCATATCAAGGCCAATAAGGTCTTTGAAGTAATAAAAAATATGTAGTATTTGCCACTTGTTTTCACACTGGTTTCTTCCTTGGATTATGCTTCAACCCTGAATATGGAGGCAAAATGTCATTTGACTTCCAAAGGACTACATGGTGTTATATCCCAGAAGATAGTACTCTTCAGTAAAAAATATCTTTAAAAAAATATATATGATCCAAATTTGTTAACATCTTTCCACTCTTGTTAGTGTATTTTCCTGATAAAGGGAAAGTTACAGGTCCATTTTGTGCGTAAATGCATTGTCTTTCGTTGTAATGTTTGAATCTGAGCACAAAGCTTCCTGAAGCACAAAATGAAGTGTGTACCATTGACAGACAGTAGCATCATCTTTTATAGTTTCCTTTCCTCATTATTTGCAATCGGACAACCACATGAAGCTGGGTTCAATGCTAGTGAATGCAATGAATCAGGATAACAGAAAATGACATGACAATAAAGGTAAGGTTGTCCCTGTGCTTGAATAATTAAATATTGGGCGTTCAATCAAGGAGGAAACTTCGCAACACCATTGACCAGGCCCGATATTCCTCACAGATTGCTGCTGTAACTGTAATTGTAACGGCACACGTTTATCAGTGCTAATGACTCATTCTGCTATCAGCAGTTGCAGCAGCAATCTGTGAGGAGTTTTGGGCTGGGTCAGTGGTGTTGCGAAGTTTCCTCCTTAACTGAACGCACTGTACTACACCATGAAGGCATATAGGAGAATAGATTTTCTTGACCTAGACACTAGTTGGTGGTGAGTGGTCAGCTTCACGCCCCGGCCGCTTCACCCCCTGGAAAGAGCCCCTGGTACCCATTGGATAAGAGGTTGGGTGAACCTCAGAGCTGGTCTGGACAACATAGAGAACAGAAAATTCTTGATCCTACCAGGACTCAATTTCCAGCCCCTTGGTCATCCAGCCCATAGCCAGTCGCTATCCCAGCTCTGAATGACATGACAGCTGTAATGAAAACTGGCTGTTGTATACATCTGATGGGTAGAAACAATTATCAGAAATATATACATTTTAAAATTTAAATACAGTTGGAGTAAGAAAAAAAAGGAACAAATGCAGGATTTAATTACAGTGGTTTAGGGCTCTGACAGGTGTCTAGGTTGCTTATGCTTTTTAATATCTGTAAAGTAAAAAGCAAAAGTAAAGTTTCCTCTGGCCTGAATTAAGCACCATGCCGTGGAGATTTACGGGGGAGTGGAAGTATAGTTCCACCATTTTCACCTTGGCATTGGGTGCAGGAGAATAGTCAGCTTCATACCTGTATCAATAAAATAATGTTCAATCAAACCAGTTTCTGTGCTTTACAGTGATTAATTTTGATAGTTTTTACATTACTGTGTGTGGGTGGGTAGACTCAAATGAAAATATATATGATGCAAAGAGATGTACATATTCTGCAGATTAGAATATAAAGTTGCAATTTTATAAAATGGGCTGAGAAACCACAGCTGATAGACCTTCAAAAGAAAGTAACCCACCAGACTAAGAACTGTTACGAACAAAGAAATTCTGGAATAATTCTCAAATTGTAACTGTTTAGACTACCAGATATCATTCATATTTAGACTTCAGAGGAATGAAATAATTGGGAAATTTAGGAAATTTTGTAATGAAGCATTTTATCTTTTTTATGGGTCAACTGGTATTGTTAGGGTTATGAAATCTAGTTTGCAGTGGACTAGACATTTAGCTTGTATGGAGGGAAGAAAAAACATACAGAATGCTCATACAAATTTGTCTTTAAAATGAATACTTGGAAGACTGAGAAGAAGGTGGGAGGATAACATTAAGATGGATTGTAGGGATATAAATTTGAGGTTGGGAAATGAATGAAATTAGTTCAGAATCACAAGCTTTGGTATCAACATTGATGAACCTTCTGGTTATGCTACTACAGTATTAGTATAACATTCTAAGTCCATATGTCTCTATCATTTTTGTTTCAGATAACTATGGTGATAATTTCAAAGTGAAAGTGTATACTGTAATCATTATACTATCATAACATTTTTATTAACTGCAATAAGTAACATGATTTATTTTATCCGTCTTCTAGTGCATACATTTATTTATCCCCTCTTTTCACTCTCACTACATGTTTCGGCACCAATGTGCCATCTTCAGGTGCTGATCCAATCCACGACAAACTAATTCATTGCATGCCTTGTCTTTACATCCTAAAATAATTAAAATATATATTTATCATATATANATAAGTAAATTTAATTTACATTGGTAACTCACAATTGATCCAGCCCATGCTGAAGATTAAGCCAGAAGTCATTAAGCACCTTCACTGTTTTAACTGATTAACAGCCTAGTCTTCCTCGTTGTGCATACTCTATACAGAATGCTTTCAGAAAGGTTCCCCGCCAAAATTCTGAACAAGTTTTTTCCTTGCCCATTCTAATGACATGCTTGACCCACCATGATCTCATTTAACTCCTAACAAAGATTTGATTCCTGAAAGAGGCACTGAGTTTCTCAACGCCTTTTTCATGGGTCAAAATATTCTGCTGTACAATGGGTAATGGCGTTGTGTGTAGCTGGTCACTCACCCCCACTAGTGTCAAAGTTAAAAATATGTGAAACTTTACTTGGGTAACACTGTACACCATCATGGAGTAATCTGATCCAAACTGTACTGACCATTCACGACCAGCAGTTTTGTTTTGGCAAAACATTTGTGTGTTTATGTGGAAACACCAATGAGTTCATGCCCTGTAGAGTGTACAGAAGAAACTACACCAATTTAAGACTTGGCAGTCCCGATAGGCAGGAAGCCCAGCAAGCAGAGATTATAAGGGTATTTTACTAGTAGGTCTTCCAAAGTTGTGGCAGTACATAACTGGTTATGAGAGTTGTAGCAATAAGCAATTACCTTGGTGAAGAGTAAAGTTTTTTGGATTGTAATGCCTTGTAATCCTGATAACCCTGACGTTTAGAAGGAAAATATTGCCACCATCTTCAGGCCTGATGAGTAAATCAAGCAAGAAGCAGGCTTTAATAGAACCCAGAAGAACCCTACAGAATCAGCGCCATGGAAACTTCGTTGTTTAATATACTGCGTTGCTCACATAATTCATGATGGTCCCAAATATTTTCTGATCTCTCTGTCTCCTGTAAATTTCTAGATTTCTTTCTTCCTTCAGCCGGCATAGTGTATCTACCGATGTTGTGGGGCGTCTACCGGTAACCTTAGCGAATCAATACTTCAGTCTGGCTGGAGTCCGATGTCGAAGTCCAAAGTTTCGCTTCACACACGCCACGCAAGCCCCCTCCCGTTCATGTCGCCGGTACTTCACAAGCTTCACAAGGTACTTACGGGTCACGTGTTCACAGTCGGTTGTTAACAAAGCCATGCTTTTAGCAACCTTCCTTTCGTCCTCCTAGAAGTCATTATTTTTATATCTATTCTTTGGTAGTTTAAGACGAAGACAAAACCCATCTCCATAGAGCATAGTGGTGGAGAAGCTAGTCAACAGATTTCCAGCGTTATATGGAGGAGGTGAACAAGGACATGATACTGGACTCTGTTCCGAGAGATCAACGCAGTCCACTGCCCCATACCCTGTATCTTTATGATCCACATTCATTGCATCCTTCCAATTACGTCTTGATCACCCAAGTTGTTCCTTTCCTTCATGCTTCTGACTAAAATTCTGTATGTCATTTCTCATTTCTCTCACGCGTGCTACATGTTCTATCCATCTCGCCCTTCTTGATTTGATGCCTTAGTAATAATTGCTGAAGTATTACAAGGCCCTCATCCACTTTTCTGCTGCCTCCTGTTACTTCCTTTCTCTTAGGCCCAAATATTCCCTTAAGTACTTTGTTCTGTGACACCATCAATCAACGCTCTTTCCTCAGGGCGACAGATCAGTTTCCCAGTCACACAAAACAACGGTTAAACTGTAATTTTGTGTGTGTGAGACTATTTTTAAACAGGAGACGGAAGTAAAACACATTTAGAAAAACTAATTTGCAGTCATATTCGTGAATGTAATTTTGTTCCCAAATGTTTGAGCTTTGCCACAGTTTTAAGGAATGTCAAGCTATTTTATAATTTCACAAGCGTGACGGTGAAGAAAAATCCGCACTGCAAGTAGAAGCTTACGTGACAAATATTACTCATCTTTCATTATAATCCTGCATGCATCGTAATAAATTGGCCTGTATCAAATGACACGTAACTAAATGGTTACTTAGTGATTAGTACAGTACTCACTGAGGTTGCAGTCCCAGCGTCTTTCTTGTGGGGGGGAAAGAAATTGACTTGGACTCGAAGTCATATATACGTGTATAACACCAAAATCAACCAATTTTCCGAGTTTTCGTGCCCAAAACGAACACCTGTAATTTTTGAGAACGTAACAGACAACCAGATCGACATTCTTAAATACACAACTGTATTCTAATGAGATGTGAAGATATAGGGCCTATTCATATCTATGGCTCTACAGCCCTTTGTTGGACCTTTGCCGCTTTTTCAGTTTCTTAATCCTGTACAGAGTCGGTAGGACTCCTTGGATGGGGGATAAACCCTTCTCAAGGCCGCTTCCTATACACAGAATACACGCACACATACATCCATGCCTTTAGTGGGATTCGAAGCCACGATTTCAGCGTTCAGGGACAGTTCCTGCCTTAGACCGCATGGCCACTGTGATCGGCCGGGCCTATTCATACGTATTTTATATACTACACGCTGAGTCTACATTGAGTTCCATGTAAACTAGGTATGAGGAATGCGAAGACATCTTACGCTACTCTGACGTCTTCATGACTTTCACTTCGCGTTATAGTACCTACAGTTCATGTGGGACTGAAAGAAAATCTGTGTTATATATATCGAGAATGCAGGATCAGAATTTTATGACGTCTACACATAATTGGCGCATCCTTGTACGAGAGTCCTTATCTGTACCATGTTTTAAGAACCCTGAAAACGTCATTTCATAATTAGTATTTCAAGCATTTAAACTACAAGTAGTCTAGGTGCTATTTGGACCCGGTTATGATATAACCTTAGCGTGTTTTTCTCATTTAATAAGAACGGAAATGTGGATTTGGATACGCAGAATTCCTTCACAAATGCATATTTTGCGATTTTATATCCCTCATTTTGGAGCACGCTGTAGCGTAGTTGGTTGAGGCACTATGCTACAAGCCGGAAGGTCGCGAATCGAATCCCGATGAGGTGAATTTCTTCAATTGACCTAATGCTTCCAGCCGCACTACGGTCCTGGGGTCAACTCCGCCTGAGTACCAGGAATATTCTTGGGGACAAAGAGAGAGCGGCGCGTAAGGCTGACAACCTCACCGCCATCTTGGAAAACACGAAGTGCAAAGCAGCTATTCGTGTTCCAGTTATTTCAGTTAGTATCTCTTTTTTTTCGGAGACGGTGCCCCCTATAAATTATAAGCTTTTCATGACTGACTTTCGCCCTAAAATTATGTGATGTAAATCCTCAATGCTAAATTTAATCAAAATGCATCTATGTAAGATTTGAGGTTTTCACGGCGGTGACTATGAAGAAAGCAGTCTTCTGGGATTTGGCACCGTGTATATGTGTGGTGTTAACCGACGTTTCGGAGGAACGTATCGCCTCCATCTTCAGGATAGAAGGAAAAATATAAGAAATCCGGTTCTCGGTCTCTTCGCTTGCGGATTTCTTATATTTTTCCTTCTACCCTGAAGATGGAGGCGATACGTTCCTCCGAAACGTCGGTTAACACCACACATATACACGGTGCCAAATCCCAGAAGACTGCTTTCTTCATAGTCACCGCCGTGAAAACCTCAAATCTTACATAGATGCATTTTGATTAAATTTAGCATTGAGGATTTACATCACATAATTTTAGGGCGAAAGTCAGTCATGAAAAGCTTATAATTTATAGGGGGCACCGTCTCCGAAAAAAAAGAGATACTAACTGAAATAACTGGAACACGAATAGCTGCTTTGCACTTCGTGTTTTCCAAGATGGCGGTGAGGTTNTGCGAATACCCCGAAGGGATCAGAGTTTCAGTCAGTACCCGATTAGAACTGCATAACCACTGAATGAAACCAGGATAGACATCAACATAGCGTAGAATACGTCAGTCCAAGATTGGATTCACAAAACTTTCTCACCCTTTCTGTGTTTCGCGTTTAGAAACTCTCCTCGGTAACAATCTGCTTTGGTACTCAGGCATCAGCAGACTAACCAAGCTGTACATATTACTGAGGCATTGAATAGCCCAAACTCAGTGGCCTCCATAAAATAGTAGGGCTGTAGCTATGACATAATAATCATCTAAAGATGTTCATTTTTACATAACGTATCATATGAATTTCATTTTCCCCCTAATCAGCCGATTGCTCTACTAAGGGCAATAGAAACTTGCGTTGTACTGATAAATGTGAGTTCCCAGCCTCAAATCGTACTGAATTATCATCTAAAAGCTGATGAACTGACATTTACTGATAACGGCCGTTTAAGTGCTTTAGCTCCATTAATATAAAGATAAATAGGAACTAATTTTATCACCAGATGTGGTAAAATCTGAACCCTTAGTTTAAAATTACAATTCTTTGTGCAAAAGTTGAATTTATTGTGGCATTCTTCATAGGACGTGCATCAAATCAACGTACAGTACGGAAATTGTGTTCTGTCTGTGGTTCGAACATACGGCATATGTCAAACCAGAATTTATAAACACGTCGTCTCTAAAATATGTCCCCATAAAACACACAACTTTTTTTTTGTTTCCCTGTCCTGGATATTTAAATGCAAGAAAAAACAATTTCTAACCGTAAGGAGTGTAATATCTGTAGTGTTAATAGCTTTGCAACTACACGTCTTAGGGTGAAGAGAGGTAAAGCTGTCAATGAGATTAAGCCTGCCCTTCGAAACATAAGAAGGTGGTAACAAAAGGTCCCCCCCCCTTTGGCACTAGAGCCCCAGTGGGCCTAGGCCTACCTCCATGAACTTCTCCGTTCACTTCGGTTTTTCTAGATCTTACACAATCGATAGGACTCCCTGGACGGGTGATCAGCCCGTCGCAAGGCCTCTACCTGTACACAAACACAGAAAAACGCACACACACAAACTAAACATCCATGCCCTGAGTGGGATTCGAACCCACGAGCCCGGTTTCCGAGCGAGCGAAGACAGTACATGCCTTAGACCGCTCGGCTACCGTGACCGGCAACAAAAGGTTTAGCCTTATACAAAATCCGAAAAGATGCTGAAATTTATCCCCTTTCCACACTAAGTAAGAGAACTTTAGTTTTTAGACCAATAATTAAGAATTTCACAAAATGATACGCAGTAGTGTTTACAGTCTTCATTAATTGCAAACGCATTTAAATATTTAAATGTGACGTATAATGACGGGAGGAATAAGAACACAGAACCTTGAACGATTACGCCCAAGAATAAAATGATTACCCTGTAGGGGCTGAAACATCCTTAGTTGCGGAAAATGTATCCTGCGTTGCAAATTGTAATTGGTTGGTTCTATGCTGTATATAGTAGGCCTATAATGTATTACGACTATATGAAAACTAATGTGGAAATTTGTACATCGCATTTTATACCCATATCGTATGTAAGAACTGTGGCTTTTAATTTAAAATCATATTGTGACATGACGCATGAAGCTGGAATAATGAAGTCAGAATAGCGGTCCGTTACCAGGCAACGTTTCACTAAACACGCATTACCGTCGCAACGGACACGGAGATTACAACATACGAGCCGTTCAAGTGTGTGTTCTGTTTGCGGTAATTTATTTGCAGGTTTGGATGTGGGATCGAATACCTCCACCGAGGTCCTGCAAGTCGTAGGAGGTGACGGAAAGAGAAGTCTCGAATCTGAGACGGTAAAATGTGGTCACGGTCTCACGGGACTCGGGCCCGAAACTGACTGCGCTGGCGAGGTCCAGCAGCAATTGTAAACGACAGATTCGTCCTCTCGTCAGAGAGAGCGCCCCAATTCAACAAACCCGCAACTGTCTGATAGTAATAACAATCTGGTCGTAAGCCCCAGATGGGTGCTTTTTTTCCGAGACAGACTGGCCGATTGACCGTCGGTCGTAACACAAGACTCAGAGTAGCAGGAGTCAGTTGTGCCGGAGATATTAGAGATCCAGAATTCTAGAGACTAGAGACCCTTCAAGATTCAGAAAACAGAGAGAGATTTCTCAAACATACGTCGTTAAGGAGTTCAATGTGTGATCTGTTTTAATCAAGTGCAATTGTAATAGAAACGTCCAGTAAAAGCAATCATCAAATGTGGAGCCCACAATTACTAGTCGCTCTAACGTAACAATATATAAAAACAAAAAACAAAATCCGTGGTTTTAGTCCGCAAGCGAACTATACCGACTGCCCGTGGGGATCCGTTGCGCTGACCATGCGACACCATCTATCCACGAAAGTTGGCACTAACTTCACCGACAAGTGGCGGTCGCTCCGTCGGTCGGACAATATATAATATTGATTTAAATTGATTTCTTACACGCGTTTGCGATACGATAATTTTGTGCTCCTTCATCGCTCGTAGTTATCAGCCTTCTCTGCTTCACGGTTTTGTAAAACAGCAGTCGACTTTCTGAGCACCGGTATCCCACGTTTCTGTCTGTGCAGTTCGAGTAACAGTCTGCAAGCAGGCCGCGCCATAGCTCATGCGGTTAGGCGCTGGCTTCCCACTGCAGCGGCCCGGATTTGGTCATGTGGGATTTGTGGTGGACAAAATGGCGCTGGGGCAGGTTTTCTCCGAGTACTTCAGTATCCCCTGCCAATCTTCATTCCACAAATTTCTCCACAGTCACCCTCACCTATCATCTGGGGCTGGTACAATAGGCCAGTAGTGGCCGCAGTACAAGGGACTTAGTCTCACCCCACAATAATAATAATAAAAAATTTTGCAAACTAATTATTACTGCCTTGTGTAAACAAGCTTGTTTAAGACATAATACT